GGCAAGAGAATAGATTTGGATGGAAATTTAACCCATTAAAGATCACCCAAGACCCAACTATGATATGATACCATGTTAAGGATCTAACTAAAATCTAATTAGTTTTGAGTAAAAGAGTTTGAAGTATATTAACCAAATTTAGGGTTCGTTTGGGATGTGGGTTGGCTTTTTGACTTTTTGGCTATATTAGCCTGGGATTAAAAAGTCTCATTTGGGATAGACTTTTGGCTTTTTTTGACTTTTGTAAGAGAAAAAATGAAATGATTATAGTTGAATGTGACATTTTGGCTATGGTTGTCATCTTCTTAGGCTAAAATAGCCACAAAGAACAAAATAAGTTTTTTAGTCCAATAAGACAAAATATTACATCTAAACTATAATCATTTCAGTTTTCTCTTACAAAAATCAAAAAGTCTATCCCAAATGAGACTTTTTAATCTCAGGCTAAAATAACCAAAAAAATCAAAAAACCAAAACGCTAACCCACATTCTAAATGAAGACTTTGTCTTATTGATTTTTTAACCTATTTTATCTTTTTATGACTAAAATAGCCTTTTAGCCCCAAAATTTGCTAAGCTAAACGAGTGCTTAAGTGATTTATAGAAACAATGTAAGGACAAGTTTAATAGATTTACTAATAAAATCATATTTATAGTTCAATATTTTTGAATACAAATGTAATATATATGTAACTATAATTATTAGATCAATTATTTTTTTGATGAGTGATCTAACTTAAAAAAATAAACAAACCGAACCATCAGAATAGGTTCTGTGTGCAATGTGTATACAAAAGTGTAATAGTACATCCCAATCTTTTTCCCAACTGGAAACTTGTCGTTTGGCAGTTGATTTTCTAGTTGGCTTGTTGACTTTTTGACTATTTTAGTTTCGCACTAAAAGTTTGTTTTGTTTAATTTTTTCGGTTTTTTTGACTTTTGTGAGAGAAAAAGTGAAATGATTATAGTTTAGATGTGATATTTTGTCTTGTTAACTTATTTAGCCTATTTTATCTTTTGTGCTTTTTTAGCCAAAAAAAATCCTAGCTAAACAAGATGTTTGAGATTATAAATATTGAAGAGTTAACTATTGAAGTTAATTAAAATAAATAGATGCCCTTTGAGAAGATTCTTGTATTTAGAAGAGAATCTTTAACCATTATTTCAAATGAGTTTTTTTTTTTTTTATGAAGTTATTCTAAATTCATTTTGATAAAATCATCTAATTCAATATTTAAATTTATAACTAATTATCAAAAAAATTTGAATTATTTTTGTTGAATGATTAATGTCAACTATATGCATTTCAAATTTATATTTATCCAAACGAATCTTAAATTTTTTTTGTTGAGTAATGCTATGTCTTATGTTATTACATTTAAACTGCTATCTAATGTAGTGTGACATTAATTGAATATTAGTGTGGATGGTAAAATTTGAGTTACGAGCCACGTGGCATTGAACAAAACCAAGCAAGGCTACGAGGCCGAGCTAGAACAAAGCAAGACCACCTAGTCAAGCTAGGACATCTCGGGAAGACAAATTGGACTATGAATTAGTTCGGACACCGAGCTAGCTACAGGCTCATAGTAGCAGTCCAAACAGTCAGATCAAGTCTAACGCACATTCTACCAAATGTAACCTTATCCACTTCATGAAATCTATAAATGTGGGACACGATCTCATGTAAAGCGAAATAGTAAAGTGTGACAAGGATCTTTCAATTAATAAAATCGTTAGAAATTTAGGTTAGGTTAGATTTGAGTTGGATTTGAAGTGATGTGGTAGAAAAATGATGTGATTTAAATAAGATAATGTGACTTAAATAAAATAGTGACTTTTTGACTTTTTACCTTTTTTAGTACATGACAAACAAGACCTTAGTCTATATAACACAACAACTTACACTCAAGTTACATGCATTTTGATAATTATTTCAAATTTAAGTATCGAAGATTCTCGTGACTAACCACTAGCTGAAACTCTTCTTCTGAATGTCATTCATGTTACCAATACTTTGTGTTTAGGTGATCTGACGCTATTGCAAGGTAAGGTGTTGTAAGTTTTTCCCTATACAATTAGGGGTGCAATTCGGGTGGGCTCAACCCGAGCAACCCGAGTCCAGTCTGAGTTTTTTTAGGACTTGGACAACTATATCTTGTAATCTGAACGGGCCTGGACAGATTTTTGATGCCCGAATTGTAATTCGGGCCGGGCTTGAGCAGAACCAATGGCCAACCCGAGCAAACCGAACCCGAATTGAATTTAATATATTATATAATATATAATATATATATAATTTAATAAATTATATAATATATATAAATTAAGTAAAGAGTTAGTCTTAATTTTTATTTTTTATTTTGGTTAGTCTTCCACCATTAGATTAGCATCTTTTATGTCTACCCTTAGATTAAATCTAAAGAAACCCTATTTATCTACCTTATCTCTCTCTCACAGACTCATTTGATTTTTTGTTCAACTCTGAAGCACTTTGAAGAACGGCGGAGGCGAAACCCTGTCGTCCCCGATCTCCACCTTCATTCACTTCCTTCTTCTTCAGCCCTGGTAGATCCATCTTGGGTAAGCTTCCTCCTTCTTTGTTCTTGCATCAGGAATATGTAACTGATTTATATATAAATATATATATCTTTTGGTTGAGAGGCGTGGGTTTATCTTTTGGTTGGCCTTTTATCTTTTGGGTTTTGCTAGTCTGCTCTAATGGATGTATTGTTTTGCTCCTGCTGGTTATTGATTAATAGAAACCTCTAATTAAAGGGAAGTTGGGTTCACTGTGCTTCACTTATATTTAATTGAACTTTGAATTATTCTGGTTGCTTCGAAATTATTTTGTAATCCTCTAATTAAAGGGAAAAAAAGAAGGTTATGGCTACATCTTTAGGGTTCTGGACTGAGCTTTGTAATTCTTTTTGTTTTTTATATTTTTTGTGGATGGGGGGAAAAGACATGATGTTTTTACTTTGTTCAATCTTGTTACCTTCTTGTTGCTTGTTAAAGCACAACAGAGCTTTCTTTCTTGTTTCTGGACTCGGCCAATTCGGGCTAACCGAGTTCAAAATACAAAGCTTGGGCCGGGCTTGGACAGCAATACTCGGGTTCATGGTCAGGCTTGGGCGGGCTTGGGCACTGCCAAATACAATTAGTGTCGGGCTTGGGCAGACTCCCAACCCGACCAAACCCGCCCGCGTTGCACCCCTATATACAATTAGTAATAACATTGAAACCACATATAAATACCGTTATTATCAAAGTGAGTGTATCACACGATCACATTCACATCTCATGGTGGATAAACTTCCAAATAAGAAAAAGAAAAGAGAATTTACAATAATGCATGATAAATCTCTATGTATAGAGAAGACAATAATAATGTAAGAGAACACGGTAGCGGAAAAGGAAAGTGTCTGCTTTGCAATCCCTCCCTACAGCAAGTCAATAATCGCGTGTGAATATGTTGGTTTGTTTTCCACCGAAATATAGTTTATTTTTCAATAAATTACACTCACATCCCTTAAGATTACTAACAATTACAGAAATCATTTTTTTCCTCTTGTCAAAAAAAAAATAATAATAATAACCACAGATGTACAACTCCAGTCTGATAGTAAAAGAGAAATTACAATTCAAAAAAACTAATGGTGTGTTTGGTTTGTGTTTGTAGATTAATTTTTTAGATAAAAAGTACGAAAACTTATTTCGTTTGTCTTTTTTCAGAAATGGTTTTGAAAAATTGTTTTGAGAAGAGAGTTTTAAAAAAAGTGATTGATTTAACGTGTATGAGAGAGAGAGTGATTTTGGAAAGTATGTAACCAAACAAAATTTTGAGATTTTTTTTGAAAAAATTTGTTTGGTTTGATTACTCTTGAAAATTTGTTTGTAGAGAATTTTTTTTAAAGATTTTTCTGAAAAACAAACCAAACAAGACCTAAAAAACTGATATGTAAACTCCAGGCTAATAATGAAAGAGAAATTACAATTCAACTAAAAGTAAGTTGATAAATATGGGGCGTACACTCTCTGTGTTAAAAAATCACCAAAAGTGTTGCACTCCTCGCCTCCTTATAATTACTTTTGATTTTTTTACACTGATTTGTAATTTTTACCATAAAAAAAGGTTGGTGCTTGTCACATTGGAATATCTTTTCCTGACAATTTCTTGACAGCAATGGAAGACTTTCTTCGAAATTATGGAGGGTTGTTCCAAATTTTGCTTTTAAAGACTTTTGCCACCTCTTACTCCTCTTTTTTGTCACATTTATTCTTATAATTATTCGCTAGTTTTGGAGCAGCATGTAACATTATTTATATAGTGCCCTAAATCAATTATATAATTGTTTGTGCAAAAAATTTTTTTTAAAAAAAAATATACTTTTGACTAAAACATAGAAGGATGTGGTGAAAGTTCAATGAAAAAGTGCTTAAGTTACGAAATTTCACATTTTTTCGGTAACAGGAAGCAAGAATTGGATCTCAATGGTAGCTAGTTATAAAACACATGGAAATAATGAGGGAATAAATGAAGGTATGATGGCTACCAAGTAACCAAATTTTAGACTCTCGAAATTTCGCTCTGGGAATAGACTATTTTAGTTCATGTTTTGAATTTTTTTTTTTTTTTTTTTTTTTTTTTTTTTTTTTTTTTTTGTGTGACTATTTTAGCTTGAATAAAAAAAAATTATGTTTGGGATGATAGTTGACTTTTTTTTTGTTTGTTACAAGTTGATTTGATGATTGTGAAAAAATAAATAAAATGATTAATATAATATTTTGTCTCATTAATTATTTTAACATATTTTGTTTAATTAACTATTTTAAGGTAAACTCAATTTTCCAAACAAGGCCATCAATGAGTGCTTTTTTAAAATCTATTTGTTAAATTATTAGACAAATTATTGCAAAATGTTTTTCGTGTGGATTATTTTTTTATTTTTTTATTTTGGCTTAATAAAAAAAATTTATTGGTAGCAAAGATGGATGAATACCTCAGCCAATGGTTCAACCATTACAATTACAATGACAACATTGATAATAAATTCGCATATTCAACATGTAATTTTGCATTGATGTAAATTCGAAGTTTGAAATCACATGTCCAATTTATGAAACCTTTTGTCTTGTCATCTTCTTCACCAAAATCGACAATGAGTATGTTTGAAAAGCTATGTTCCCTCTCAATCTCTACTTCTATTTGTCTGGATCTGCACATCTCTAGATCTCCACTACATCGCTGCCAATCTCCACCAATAAACCGATGTCATTCACCTCCACTCTCACAAATCTCCCTATATATGTGCCTCAAATCTGCAATTACAATCCAGTGTAATTAAATACAATTAAAAGAAGAAGGGATAGCTACCGAAGGAAGTGTAATTTAAGAATAAAAAAATTCTTAAGATTTGGCATAAAGAAAAGTAAGATTTCACGACTCCAAATCCAACATTTGCTTTATATATAGTATAGATATATAACTGTCAGATAATAACTACTACATATTTTTTCCAGTCATGCTACAATACACACCCCTTTTTATGGTGTATACCATATGCTAGTTATGACACATTGTGGTGCTGATACCACAAATGTTATAATTAAATCACTTTCAATCATAACTAAAAAGATACAATGAGTCATAATCAAACATTTCTTAAAGACAACCAAAGATCTTTCTTGTCATAACTAAAATAAAAATCACGTAGGTCATAATCAATATTACAATGAGTCAACCAAATTATTGCTTGAAGCATAACTAAAGAACTCTTCGATCATAACCAAAATAAAGAAGTCATAACCAAATCATAACTAATACGTTAAAAAGTGATAGCCATGTCATAACTAACAACACAATGAATCAAAACCAAAGACTACAAAAGTTATAACTGACACATGATACACAACCCAAAAATAGGTGTATATTATAGAACTTTTCTTAATTGATCATCACTTATGAGTTGATTGGGAAGTTTGGTTTTCTGGTTAAAAAAGCAAAAAAACTACTAAAAACAAAGATGCAACTAAAAAGTCAAAATGATACTTTCTTGTTTGGCAAGTTGTGATTTTAGCCTAAAAACTAAAAAACCGCTAAAAAAATAAAAATTCAACAAATACAAAAAAGTCGCTAAAAAAGTGAGTCATGCACAAGGAATTTATGTTTTTCCATACAACTAAAAAATTCATTTTCAAATCAATAAAACTAAGAAGCCTCCCCAATTTACCTGAAAATTTAACAACTGCACACATGGCAGCCCACCATGGAGGCTTTTTTTATTTAAAAGGAAAAAAATATATATACAAAAACTTAGCCTTAACATAATTGGGGAGTTGGTAAATTTATGAGTAAATTAGAATGACTTTCTAGACTTATTGTTTTCCAATATATTAGTAATTTTTTTCACCTCATAAAAAAACTAAAAATCCAAAACAACACTAAAAAAAAGCCGAACCTCAAACCACACCTGAATTGAATTGGATTATTAATCACCACCTGACGCTTAAACTTAAAAACTCAAATTTATAAGTCAAAAGTCTACCGTGACCATGAAAATTTTGCCAACAATTCTAGGAATCTCTAATTACATGTAGGTAGGTAAGTTGATGTGAAGGATTTACTCTTCACATACCAGGTTGCAGATAGTATATTTTCAAATACATAACAGAGGGCTAATCAAACAAGAAAAACAAAAAGGAAAGCAGTATGGTTTCGATCACTATGCGTGTGATTGCAATTACCTTTTACAGTGGAATTTGCAAGATGATGTCCCGAAAATGTTGACAGAGGTCGCAGTCATGGAGGGAAGAAGTGGCCCTTCACTGTTTCTCTTTTAATTTCTACATTTTACAACCACAAGAGGGCAACTCTGATGAGAGATAACATCCCAAAATATAAATTAAATTAAAAAAAAATTAAAAAAAAGAAAAAGAAAAAGAAAAGAAAAGGAAGGGAGAGTAGTAAGTTTTATATTTTAATGATTTGACGCACGCACCTGACTTGTTTTTTAGCAGCAGCTTGGGTCAAAGATGAATTTATCATCTATGTCGACACGAGGAATGTGAGAAATGAAGCGCCAATATCGGCCTTTCCCCTTTCGACACCGTTGTTTTAGTATCGGACATCCTTCGATCATCAATCCCAAAAGCGAGGGAGGCAGCCCTTGCTCCGGAAACGATGCAAATTTAGGGCAATCCTGGATCAAGAGATGCAAAAGCGAGGGAGGCAGCCCTTCCTTTGGCAAAGAAGTGAGCTTACGGCAATCATAGATGTAAAGTATTTCAAGAGAGGTGAGGTCTTGAAAGTCCTTGAAAGATAGCTTCTCTAGATTTGGAAAATACTGCAAGGACAGGCCGGTCAGAGAGGTGGGCAATAACATTCCATCTTCTGAAATGGACTCCCAACGGTAATCTTTTAAACCGTTAAGAAGGAGTTTTCTAAGAGAGGATAATCTGTGCAAACCCCACTCTGATAGGGGTTTACTGATCATGATCGTGTCGATGACAAGTGAACGGAGGTTCGTGAGAGAACTCCAGTTGGACACAATTCCTGCAGGGCATTTCCATACTTTCAGCTCTTGAAGAGAACTGAGGTCGTATGGTAGGGCCTTGAGCTTTTTGCAGTCGTAGATAAGCAAGTCTCTCAGATTCGATGTGGCGACCCGGAACCAACCTTCCGGAAGGGACCCCATGTCTTCACAACCTCTTATGTCCACTAGGCTGATATTTTTTAATTCATTATTGTTGCTGCTATGCATGGCATCCGTCAAGGATTTGAGGTTCTTACAAGCATTAATTCGAATCGATTTAAGAGATGGACAACTAATTTTCATACCCTCCTCTGCTAGTAGTGACTCCAGCTTCGATAGATGAGCAATATCAAGTTCTTCAAGTGCAGCCGGTAGCCCACCTCTGAACAATAAGTATGTGAGCGATGGACAATTTTGAACCTTCATTTTCTGAAGACATTTCAGGGCATGCAGTCCCTCTGGCAGCTTCTCCAGCTTTTTACAATTATCAATTCCCAGATACATAAGCCCCATTAAGTAAGGCGGCCCCTCTTGCTCCTGCTGCTGTCGCTGCAACTGTGGACCATCTTTTCCTTCTACTTCTTCTTCGAACAAGGAAATAAGTTGGGGGCAGTTTTCAATCTCCAAATGTCGCAAGGCAGGGGCAGGGGGTTTGTGCTGTAGCCTGACCTCATTCTGCCACAATGTTGTGAGTTTTTCACAATTACGAATCCTCAATTCTTCGAGTCCCGTAAACCCATGAAAGAACCATTTAGGCAGGCGTGTGAGTTTCTGAATATTTTCAATTCTCATATCAGTCACTGAGCTCAAATGTTTATATGCAACAGTTGCTAATACTTCATCGCCTACCTCTCGATTAGGAATAGAGTCCAAAATTGAAATATCACTGAGAGATAAGGAGGAGACTGAACTGAAGTGGAGGGTATTCCTCTTTTGGTGGAGCATTGTAGGGCTCGGAAGCCATTCAACCACCAACCGTGGACACTTCTGAATCTCAAGCTTTCTTAAGCAAGGAAGACTGTTGGGCAATTTACCCAAAAGCTTGGGGCAACTTCGAATGGAGAGCTCTGAGAGGCGAGCAAATGCTTGAATTTCCTCATCAACTTCAAAAGGAGACCAATCCTCCCATTCCGGCATATCCCAAAAGCATAAAGTCTCTAGAGCTGGAAAAGGGTTTGAGCAACCCCACCCATAGAACTCAAGGCCAACATTCTCCACTCTTTTCATTCCTCTAATCTGAAGTTTTGCAAGCGAGGGTAATTGCCCCAGAGGTGGTAAGCATGTGCATTTTTCAAAATTTTGCAACACTAAGTGAACCATATTAGAAAACAGAGGATCTCCAACCCAAGTTGGAAATATTGGACCATAGTAACCACTGATGGAAAGTACTTTAACCTTCTTGTCTGGTTGTAGCATGTCAAGCACTTCTAATTCAACCTTTTCATTTCGTGAATCTTCTGAATTAGTGTTACCCCATTCCATCAATAACTCATCCAAGCCCTGCTTCTCATTTAACTTAGCAGCCTTTGCATCCACAACATCTACCACATTATCTAACCCGGAAATGCAAAGTGCCCCTCTAAGATGAATTAAGTTCCCCAACTCTCTTATCGTAAACCCATTTCCTTTGCTAACAATGAAGTTTGATAATGTTTGGAGACTCGTTAACTGACCTATTTTTGGTGGCATTTCTTGTAAGGAATTTGCACCAGTAACAATGAGATGACGCAAATTAATTAGGTTTCCTGTGTCTGAAGGCAACTTCTTCATATGTATGCAATATCTTAATACGAGTGTTTGTAGATTGTATAGAGTACACAGTGATTCGGGTAATGAGCAAAGCAGGGCATGAGAAAGATTAAGATACCTCAAATGTTTTGAATGTCCGATTGATCTTGGCAGTTCACTTATTTTATATCCACTCATACTAAGCACGCGTAAACGTGTAAGCTTTGGCAACAAATCATGGAGAACATTGCTGGTCAAAAAAGCTTCTCCATAATATGCTCCACATGGTAAAAAGGTGCGCAAATGCTTGGCATCATAAAAGGCCTCAAACTTTTTGATGCCGCAATATTTGTCACGCCTGTGAGATGAATGGCGAGCCTCACGGAGATTTTTGTACTGCTCGTTAACTTTCAACTTATCCTCCAACCTAAAACAAATTTTTCCTGCAACAAACTGAGCGAGATCATTGATGAGGTCATGCATCACAAATTCTGAGCTTTCACCACTAGTTGATGGTTGAAAAAATGACCTGGACAACAATTCACGAAAGTACTCGAGCCCGAGATCTTCCATTTGCTTCTTTCCTTTTTCTGCGGGTTCTTGAATGAAGCCTTCAGCCATCCACAATAAAACAATTGCCTTTTCACGATATATGAAATTCTTGGGCAGTATTGAACAGTATGCAAAACACTTCTTCAAATGTGAAGGGAGGTGATGGTAGCTTAACCTCAAAGCCGGAAGAATGTCACTTTCCTGGTCTGATAACTCCCACATTTTACTATTCAATACATCTTCCCATTCATCGTCTCTTAGTTTACACCGTAAAAGGCCACCAAGTGTCCTAGCAGCCAAAGGCAAGCCTCCACATTTCTCAACTATTTTCCTACCAATTGAAACCAAATTCGGGCTTGCCTCGATAATTGTATTCTCAAATGCATTTTGTGCAAACACTGACCAACAATCATCCATTGATAATTGCTTCAAGTGATGATATTTCACAGTTCCTAACATCAACGCAACATCTGTGTTACGTGTTGTTACCATGACTTTACTTCCTTGGGCTCCATCATTGAAAGGACTTTTCAAAATGCTCCAATCACTGTGTTTTTTGTTCCAAAAATCATCTAAAACAATCAAGAACTTTTTCCCATCCAAAATCTGCTTTAGTTGGACTTGGACTTGACCCAAGGTATCAAAATTGCAAGGCTGGGAAGTGACGGACTCCAAAATTGCTTTTGTCACTCGCGTAATATCGAAATCTTCAGAGACATAAACCCATGCTTTTATTTCAAAGAGCTTCCCGACCATGTCATCATTGTATACCATCTGAGCAAGGGTGGTCTTGCCAACCCCACCCATACCCACAATCGGAACTACCCCAATATTGCAATTGCTCGACTCCTCAACACCTAGTAAGAGCAACTTAATTATCTTCTTTTTATCCTCACCCCTCCCATATACACTAGGTTCATTCATCAAACATGTGGTGGGTGGTCTTTGCCAAGCTTTAGCAGATGTCCCTGCATTTCTACTACTACCCACCTTTTGCAAGCCGAGCACAGTTCTACGTTCCAAAAGATCTTGGAATCGGGTTGTGATCTCATCTAATTTGACAATCTTGGTTGGAATTAGTGCACGTACCTTGGTGGTGATCATCGACTTAGGTCGCAAAGCTTCGGTGGAGAACTCGTCGAGTATGTCATCGACGTCATAAGCCAAGTCCTGAAGATCTTCAAGCCAAATCTTAATACCTCTTTCGGTAACTTGCTTCTCATCAGCATCAACGAGAACTGCCTCAATTTCTTCCAAAGTTGTGGTCCATTTCGTCAACAGAGTACGAATTCGGCGCTCTCCGCCGAAGCCGCGTGCAAAGTTGGACAGCTCGCCGGAGGCTAAAGTGGCGAACTTCTCAAATAGAAACTTGATTGAAGTGGCGATTAAGAGCTCTCCGATAGCCATTGATTCCTGAATTTGTGAGAATGAAGAAGCACTAGAAATGGATTGAACTGAACTGAATTGATTTGAGTGTTTAACCAAATCGGAGGGTGGTTGTAGTTATGGATTCAATTGAGAGACTCCACACAACCAGAACAAAAGAAATGGGAAAAGAGAATGCAATAATGCATCAGACCAGACATGTATGGAGAGAGAGACAGAGAGAAGTCCATAATGTAAAAAAGCACACGGAAAGGAAAGTGCTGAGAAAAAAACAGAGTGGGCACTCTGCGAAAGCACACTGTAAAAGAAATTATAATTTAAGTATGAAAATTTGTCATGAGGAATTTTAGGGTGTTTGTATTTATTTATTAAGATTTTAATGAGTTCTTTGAATTCAAACTTAATAAAAATTTAACGAATTGAGTTTAAATCAACTTCTTAAGCTCGAGTCTATTTATGAATTTTAATGAGTTAAAAAATTTATATTTTTAAAATTACATATGAAATTAAAATTACAATTAAAATTTTAGTTATACAATTATATATACAATATATAGAAACATATTAGAAAAATTAATATTTTATCAAAATAATAATATATACCGAAAAAATGTTAAGAGTTGTAATTAATTGGACCAAATTAACATAAAATCACAAATTCATGGTTAAAATCGAGCCAATTGAAATTACAGGAATTAAAATGATACAATGATTAAAGTACAGAGACTACCATTATAAATTGTCTAAAAATAAATAAAAAAAAAAAATCAAAGACAAGAAAAGAACATTTTATTTGTTTATCCCTTCCTCGTCTTCTCTAGTTGGAGTGGTTAGAATAAAATATCCTCAATTAGGGCTGCAAACGAGTTAAGCCAAGCCGAGCCGAGTTTTAATATGTTTGGATTTATTTATTAAAAATTTAATGAGTTTAAACTCAATCTCAAAAAAATAAAAAAAAATAAAAAAATAAAAAAAAAATATTAAGGAATTGAATTTGAATAAACTCTTATCAAGCCAAATTCAAGTTTGTTCTTGAACGATTTTGTTCATCTAGCCCTACCTACCATGCATACCTTTCGCGCTAAAAATTGCCAAAGACAAGTTTCCACATTGAAGTTGCAAACGACAGTTACTTCGAGGAAATAGTAACACTTTTGGAGTGATGAAAATTATCAGTGTATTTGGTTTTAAATTTTTTGAATTTAATTTTTTATTTGTTGTATTTTTAGTAAATATTTTTAAAATTTTAAGTAATTTTTAAAAAAATTTAGATGCACCTTAATTAAATAAATCTGTTGAAAAATATCTTGGACAGTTATGCAACAGGTTTTTCCGTAATTACGCAAATATTATTGGTCAATTATGAAACATGTTTTTTCGTAATTATGCAAACATTTTGGTCAATTATGAAGCATAAATCTTTTACTTTTAACAAATTATAAATATACTTACAAAGTTTGCTTAAAATATGAATCAGTCATATAATGCTAGAAATTATAATTATCGTTTGTTATAAATTTTAATTTAACACAATACTTAGGGGGAAACAAAATTTTTCTATGCAATAATAAATTATCAAAATTGTTTATTGAAAAATATTTCTCATATCATTAAAAATTGTTAATTGATTTAATGATTTATTTATTAACAAAATAATTAACTAATTTTTTTTATATCATTAAAAATTGCTATTTACTTAATGATTTACTTATTAATAAAATTGGTCATTTGTTATGCGAGTATGATTTATGTATTAATAAAATTAGTAATTTGTATATAAATGTATTTTCTTCTACTTCTTTATTAGTTAAGTGAATTATTTTAGTAGTTTTTTTTTAATAGGATAATTATTTTAGTGTTTGTTTTATATTTATTTGTTGAGAAAAGCTACACACTATAATTTTTTTTATAAGTTAGGAAAAAATGTTAAAAACTCATAAATTCATCCAAAATGATATGATAATAGAATTGGAGTCTATATCATTAGGTGTATAACAAATCAAAAATTGATACATATTATACCTTTAATATACTATTTAATTTTTAACCAAATTTCTGATTTAATAATATTTTAAATTAAATTAATTTTTTTTATAAAAGATGACAATTAAGGTTAGGGTTTGGTTAGTATTAAGATTTAATTTCGAGAATAAGATGAATATGAGGGTATTATTGACATTTGATTCAATTTTTGACTTTGGCTTAACAATTTTGCATTATCCATTCTCAATTTGAGAGAGTGTGGCACATCTTCTATTATCTTTAGCAGAAAAAATAGCCGTAGTACTTTAGTCCAAAATCATAAGAGAGCTTTCTGTCAATATTTGAAACATAGAGGGGTAAAATACTAAAGTGAATTTTGCCCCATAATTTTATCATATATTTTTTTGTGGTAAATTACACTCATTTCTGTTGAGATTTGAGAAAAATATAATTAGTCCCACATTTTAAAAATAATTACACCTGGTTTGGTTTTGATTAGTTTTCTAAAAATTGAATTTTTTTTCCGTATTTTTTTTATTTTTGTTGATTTTTTAAAAATATTTTAAGTAATTTTTTACTTTTCTGGATGCACATAACTTAGATATACCTAAAAAATAAAATATTTATGAAAAAAAATATTTTAAAAATGTAATAAATATACAAGAATACAAAAATATACTGAAATTTTGTATTTATTTTTTGTATTTGATGAATTTTTTAAAGATTTTTTTTCATAAATATTATATTTTTTAAGTGTATTTAGGTTAGGTGCATCAAAAAATATTTAAAAAATTTATTAAAATATTAAAATATCAATAGGTGTTAATAGTTGAACTTAGTTCTCATGTAATCTTATTGAAAATAAGTTTTAATAAAATCGTCATTAAAAATAATTTTTTTTAACGATTTTTTGTGTATGTCGCAAAAATTGACAACTAGTGACTTTTTTGTCACGATTTTTATAAATTCTAAAATTTAAAATTAGTGACTTTTTTTGTGACGAATTTTTTAAATGGGCACTTACCAATCAGTCATATTAACCAAACTTATTTACCGACAGGTCCTAACTGATAAATTTATCACTATAAATTTATTCATAAAAACAAAGAGACTGATAAATTTATCAATAGAACTTAATGGGTAATAAGTCCAAAAGTAGGACCTATTGGTAATTTCTCATTTTTCAAACTGTTGCTAAATATTGAAAATTAGTGATATTTTTTTGTGAATTTTTTTTTAAACTGTCGTTAATACTTATAATTAGTGACATTTTTTGTGACATATTTTAAACTATCACTGAAAATTAACAATTAGTGACCTCTTTTAATAGTGTTTGATGAAAAAATTAATTAATTATCATAGGATCTATGGGACAATAAATCTATTTATTAGGATCTACACGCGTAGGTCACTCTAAAAATTTTGACTAAAAATTAAAAAAAATACAAAAAACAAAAAAAAAAACTCAATTTTTTGAAAAGTGAGATCAATTTTCTAAAACCAAACAAGGTTTTCTTGAAATTTTAATTCACATAACACTTAAGACATTTTTCATTATTAATTTGTTAGACATAAATGAAAAAATGATATTGTTAACTATTTTATGTTAAAATGTACAATTATCTTTGTTTAGTGTCTTGCTTTAGCCTTAATAAAAAGAAAATTAGTGTAATTATGTCATAAGTGTGAAATTAACTATATTATTTTTAAATTTTAAGGGAGGTGAGTGTAATTTATCCTATTTTAAAAAATAATAATTAATAATTTTGTTAAAGATTCAACTCAAAATTAATTATTATGAATGAAGAGGCCTCATGAGTATACATATTAACTGAGGTTGTTGTGACTTATAGAAACAATGCGAGACAACTTTAACACTCCTCGCACATACAGCCTGGATAGCACGTGCAGATAACAGAGACATGAGAGGCAAGAGAGTAGATTTGGATGGAAATTTAACCCATTAACCAGAGACCCAACTATGATATGATATCATGTTAAGGATCTAACTATAATTAGTTAAGAGTAAAGGAGTTTGGAGTATATTAACCAAATTTACGGTTTGATTGGAGTGTGGGTTAGTTTTTTGACTTTTTAGTTATATTAGCTTAGGGCTAAAAAGTCTCATTTGGTATAGACTTTGGGTTTTTTTTTACTTTTGTAAGAGAAAAAATAAAATAATTATAATTTAAATGTGACTAAAATAGCCTTTTAGCGCTATGCTAAGTGAGTGCTTAAGTGATTTATAGAAAGACTTTGAATTTTTTTGACTTTTATAAAAGAAAAAATAAAATAATTATAATTTAAATGTGACTAAAATAGCCTTTTAGCGCTATGCTAAGTGAGTGCTTAAGTGATTTATAGAAACAAAGAAAGGACAAGCTCAACAGAATTATTAATAAAATCATATTTATTGTTATTTTTGAAGACAAATGTAAAATATATATATATATATATATAACTATAATTATTGGATCAATTTATTTTTTTTTTGATGAGTGATCTACCTTAAAAAAATAAACAACCTGAACTATCAGAATAGATTGTGCGTGTGATGTGTATAAAAAATTGTAATAGTACATCCCAATCTTTTTCCTAACTAGAAAGTTGCCATTTGGCAATTGATTTTTCTAGCTGGTTTGTTGATTTTTTGACTATTTTTGTTTTGCATTGAAAGTTTATTTTGTTTGATTTTTTCAATTTTTTTAACTTTTATACGAGAAAAAATAAAATAATTATGGTTTAAATGTGATATTTTGTCTTATTAACTTATTTAACCTATTTTATCTTTGGTGTTTTTTTAGTCAAAAAAAATTCTAGCCAAACAAGATGTTTGAGATTATAAATATTGAAGAGTTAACTATTGAAGTTAAATTAAAATAAATAGATGCCCTTTAAGAAGATTCTTGTATTTAGAAGAGAATCTTTAACCATTATTTCAAATAAGTTATTTTTTTATAAAGTTATTCTAAATTCATTTTGATAAAATCATCTAATTCAATATTTAAATTTATAACTAATTATCAAAATTAAATTTAAATTATTCTTGTTGAGTGATTAATGTCAACTACATGCATTTCAAATTTATTTTTATCCAAACGAATCTTAAATTTTTTGTTGAGTAATGCTATGTCATATGTTATCAAATTTAAACTATTATCTAATGTAGTGTGACATTAATTGAATAGTGTGAATGGTAAAATTTGAGTTACAAGTCTGTTGGCTACATATTTTGTATAAAGCTAATCATAGTTCAACACGTGGCAGGTTGAGGGTAATACGGGAAGACAATT